ATCGCTGTACAATATCACTACATAGTATACCGTGATGGACTAAACAGTTAGTTGTACGCTGTTATTTTCTAAACTAAGCTTAACATTTTGCAAAAGTTTTTCAGTGTCTATAATTTTATATTTTTACATTTATAATAATGAGTGCCACAATTAATGTTAAACGTAAGAGAAAACGTGTAAAAGTCGAGTGCTTAGAATGTGGCAGTACATTTGACGATGATTTTAAGAAAAAGCACGAAGAGAAGTTACATAATGGTAAACGGATAAATGTGAAACAAGTTGGCGCTCCTAAAAACCCATTCGAAAGTGCGGCTAAACTTCACGACTTTTATCCAAACAGATTAAACTGCATAATATGATTCCAGTAAGCTTTTATATTTTTTAATTGTTATACACCGTAATTGAATCCAATTTTAAATTTCACATTTATAATATTAGTTCTTGATACATTATGCATGGCAAAAAATATTGAGAATATAATTTTTATTTTTTCATATAACATTAAATATGTCTGTAAAATATTAAATATTATCTGCTAAATACATTTTAAAATATAAAAATTATTTATTCTAATTTTACTATAAGTACCTACTATAATATGTATAATTTTTAATTTAGTCAAGTTCAACTCAAACAATATGTAATGTTATCCAGACTGAAGCAAAACCTGAAGGAATAACAGAATCTGTATTAGACGAGGTAAGACATTAAAATACAATAAATATATATAGGTATATATAGGATTATTGGTACATTATATATGAAAAAAATATTAAAAGTAAAATTGGTCATATTATATCATTTGATATACAGTGCTGAATAAATTTTAAAATATACAAATTATTTATTCTGATTTTATTATAAGTACCTACTATAATATGTATAATTTTTAATTTAGTCAAGTTCAACTCAAACAATATGTAATGTTATCCAGACTGAAGCAAAACCTGAAGGAATAACAGAATCTGTATTAGACGAGGTAAGACACTAAAATACAATGAATATAATATATATATAGAACTATTGGTACATTATGCATGAAAAAAAATATCTAAAGTAATATTTTTCATATATTATTTGATATATAATCTTAAATAAAATTTAATATTTAAAATGTTTTTATTCTGATTTCACATTTTCACTATAAGTACCTACTATAATATGTATAATTTTTAATTTAGTCAAGTTCAACTCAAACAATATGTAATGTTATCCAAACTGAAGCTAAACCTGAAGGAATAACAGAATCTGTATTAGACGAGGTAAGACATTAAAATACAATGAATATATATATATATATATATAGGTATATATAGGATTATTGGTACATTATATATGAAAAAAATAAATATTAAAAGTAAAATTTTTCATATTATATCATTTGATATACAGTGCAAATACATTTTAAAAATTATTTATTCTGATTTCACTATAAGTACTATATATAATATAAGCACATAATATTTATCTCGTTTTAGTTAGTACACTTTTATTCTATAAAAATTATTGAATTTTAGGTCACTTCAACATGTTTTTCAACTCAATCAGTCCCTACAAAAGATTCAACGAATGTGGTTGACCATGATAAAATGGATGTAAATTGGTTGTTATGTGCTGGTCAGTTAGAAAATATTTTTGCAGATTTAACTGAATGTGGTATCGTTTTATCTAAACTAAAAACTGAAGTATTACCAAATCCAATTAAATTCATACTAGAAAGTGTCCAGATTATTAGTAGAATAAAATCTAAGTCTAAAGATTTTTTAAAAAATGCAAATATTGTTTTGGAACAATTTTCAGAAGGTACTTCAACTTCATTGTCAAATAATAATTAATATTATTGATGAATTTATAAACCAAAAAAATTTTTTGAGTCGGCAAATTGATAGATATACACCCCCCCCCCCCCCCACCCCATGAATCTTAGTTCGGGACGGCCCTGCGTCTAGTACTTACAGTAGCGGACATTCCGAAGGATTTTTTAGATTCTGAGTGGAACGATGAATGTACTGATTTTACAATGACGTGTGTTTTTTTTTATTTATTTTTTGTGTCTGTCATCACGTTTTAGGACAGTATAAGTGCTTGGATCTTCTTCAACAGTATCTTCTCTGATAGGAAATTGAATCTATAGTTGGTACTTTTTGGGGTCAAAAGTAGTTTTCAAAGGCACCGTGAAAAACAAAAGAAAAATTAAGGAATAAACGGGAATTTTTACGCAAAATCTGTTTTCGAGGAAATCGATTTTGGTTTTTGAATGCTTATATTTATATTTTCTATACACCATAACATTTTCCAAATATTTTGACTTATTTTGAGCTCTTTGAGGACATTTTCAGTTTCCATTTTTTTTTAGTTTTTTTTCAAAAAATATCAATTAAATTTTATTTATTGATTAAAAAAGCTTGAAAATTTAATAGAAGGCTCCTAGTATATTGTTTCAAAGGCAGATGAAAAATATTAAAAATCCTTAGTCACATTTTTTTTTTATAAGCATTTGAAGTTCGAAAATTGTCAAAATATGGAAAAATCACAAAAATTATATTGTATAATTATATAATATAACATTTATTTTGAGTTAAGCATTCGTAAAAATTTTTCTTTGTTAATCTAAGGTTTTAAAATGTAATTCAAGATTCATTATAAGATTATCTACCTTTATCAAAAAAAAAAATGTCTATAAGAAAGTCAACTTAAATTTTTATGAACGTTTTAAATTCAAATTTTTACAACATTGGATATTCACTTGATTTCTTCCGTAGCGATTTTCTTATTTTGTTGTAATTCAAAAACGAATAACTGTAGATACATAAACATTTTACTGAATGTTTATTTTATCAATTTTTATAGTTGATAAAATTTTCAAAATATTTTGATTTGTTTTGAGCTTTTTAAGGACATTTTCATATTTCAATTAATTTTTATTTTTTTCTATGAATATCAATAATGTTTTATCTGTTTTGTCAAAAAGTTTAAAAATTTAATATAAGGCTCCCGAGAAAATACATAGACACAGTTTATGTTTATAGTCATTTTAAGTTCAAATTTGTACGAAATTACATAATAAAAAACCTAGAATAACTATTTTAGTTATTTTGTTGTGAGTGTATAATATTATTCGTGGGTACTTGAAACTTCTAAAGTACACTATTATATATCTATGAAAGTATCAGGGTTTGTTGTTGATGTATAATGCGTTACAAGTACCTAATGTATATTGTGATATGATTAATTTGGAATTTATTATAGGTAAATATTATATGTAAATTTTTTTTTAATACCATAGATAAGTATATAATATGTCTTAAACCTAGACTGACATACCGCCTCCGCTCAGAATCGTTTTTCTTATACAATGATATTATATCATTGAATTCAAATTTAAATACCATCCAGTGACCCACTTGTAACCTACTGTACAGCAGAGCACCTTTTTTCATATTATTGATAAACAATTTTCTCTCGATCTAATAACTTTGAAAAAATTGAGAATAAATACACAATAATTTTTTTATATTGTTTGAAGTTAAAAATTTTTCAATTTCTGATCTTTAAATTCATATTTTGTAAATTGGAATTTAATCTGTATAAGATAAAATAAATAAATAAACTCTAGACATCTCAGCTTCTAACAATTTTTCTACATTAAAAAAAATATATCAGACTTCCAAATCATTAGTAACAACATTATAAAACTAACTTGCTCCTAAATACTTTCTAATAGCAATATTTAATTTGCCATTTCTGAAGAAATGAGCAATAATATATTGTGGGCCACCAAGGAAAACAAGAAAAAAAAATCCAAAATAGAAACAATCAATTTAATAAACCTATGACCAAATTTATCATGTGACTAGCACAGCATTGCCGCGTGACAAATTAAATAATGCTAGTTGATTTAAGTCCTTTTAAACATTGTTAATGTAAGCTACATATGTTTTTAACATAGTGATTTGAGTGGTTTTAACCAAATATAAAATACAGGACCTCATTAAAACTAAGAATTTAAAAATAGCTTCTTTGAGGTTTACATCCTCAGGTATAAGATGACTCATGAACAAATAGTGCGATAGGCTTGGCTGTGAATTGCTTACACACATGCGCAAACATTTCCTTTTATTAATATAGATAAATGTATCATATTATTTAATGTTGTTTATTATGATAATTCTAAATGTATTTTATAACATAAAACAATTGTGGGATTAATATATAAAAAAATTAAGTACTATATATTGTATAATATGATATTATATAAATAATGTATAATTTGAACTATTAATTCTAACAAAAAAAATTACCAGATTACAAATACAATTTTAGATAATGGCACAACTGTTTTGATGATATAAAGTTGAAAATTATAATTTAGTTAGTTTTACACTTAATTAAGTATTTATTACTTTGCTGGTATTTTTAACATTTCACCTTGTAACTATATATTTGGGTTTTTTTTTTCTATTAAGTAGCAAAATGTGTTCAACTTATTAAATATTACAATTAATTAGGAATGAAAAATAACATAATTGATAATCACGAATGATACATTTATTGATTATCATACTATCTACTGACTACTGTATATGTGTTTCATTTTAATAAATATATTTTATAGATATCCAATGGTTTGATAGTTAAAATATAAAATATAAGAAACTAAAAACTTAATATATATATATATTATTTAAAGAATATAATAGACCTGTTATGCCGTATCTTTATTTAAATTTAAACATTTATTACTTTTTTCATTAACCTTTATTTGACTTATAGAATATTTTATTTGTTGTTAATTTTAAAATGTACAAACATTCTATAAATATTGAACATGAATATTAGGTATGTATTTATTCTTGTACAAAAACAAAACATACTTCGTTTACATAAAAATAATATTACGATTAAATATCAAAATTGTTATAGGCTGTGTTGCTGAATATGAGTGAAAAAAAACTACGAAATTTAAAGATATTAATATTAATATTTGTGAATAATTAGTATTACTGTGGAGACTTTTCTTCTGGCATACTGAGCTCCAATTCAATATCTACAAATGAACTCTTGTGATTATTGTTTAAATTACCACCACCATCTTCACGAGGTAGCCGTTTGCCAAAATGTTTTTCAACCCATTTCAACATAGTTAACACAGAATCAGTACTTGGCAAACGACGTTCAGCAGAAGTTTTAACAATTTGAGACTGGGCTACTCTGAAAGTTGCTGCCATACCTTTTAATGCCTTTAAAATAATATAAATACAATTAGATGAAGATTATTTTAATTTTAAGATGAATAGAAACTACCTGCATTGCATCTTCATCAGTTACATCATCCCCTGCATAAATAATGCGTGTGCGTTCATTCCAATCCAAACCAAAAGCTGTACGTAAAATATACAAAGATGCACGTCCCTTATTCCATTGTACTGGAGGTTTGGCTTCAATGGCACAATGAGCCTGACCTGCTTTAAATCCGGCTTCTTCTATCAGACGTTGTGCTGTGGATGCAAGCTCAGGTCGAGCGTTAACAGGTACTTTACGGTAATGGAATGTCAATAAAGTACCTTTATTTTCTACCCATGCACCATCTTTGCAAACCTAAAAATAAAAACAAATAAGTTAATAGTTCATTGATATTCACTTTATATTTACTTGTTCTTGAAGCACTTTCAATAGATCCCCAACTTTATCTACATATTCTTTAGGCATTGGATGCGTAAACCTACTTCCATCTGGATGAAGAATTTCCAGTCCATGATTACCAGCATAAGTCAGACTTTCAATACCAACCTATATATTAATTTCAACCATTAATTTTGTTGTATATAGTATGACAGTTTAATATTTAATAGCAAACCATATCTTTAACATTATGAACATTTCTGCCAGAAATAATGGCTATGTATACATCAGGCATATTGGCCAACCTTTCTAATACACTTTTAGTTTCTAAAGGTAATGTAGCAAGGTTTGGGTGAGGAGCTAGTGGAGCCAATGTACCATCGTAGTCTAATAGCAATGCAAGCTTGTTTGTATTTCCAATATATCTATAATACAAATGATTAAATAAAATATATTGAAAAAATAAATATATTTTATTGTAATATAATTGTAAAACAAATATTTACTTGGCCAAATAATCATCAAAGTCCTGTAAAGTGACTGGTTGCATGGTAGTTGGCAAAACATCATCACCATCTTCAAATATTAAAGTACCCATTGCTTTAAGGAAAGATCGCATCCAAAAATCTACATCATGTACTTTTTCTCTACGTCTCAAACACCTCATTCTTAAAATCCTTTCATCTTCAGGCATAGTCAATGCTCTGTGCAAAGTATCAGCTGCTTCAACCAATTCATACGGATTACAAATTAAAGCCTCATTCATCATTTCACCAGCGCCAGCAAATGGTGATACAATAAGAACACCAGGTGATTCTTTAATTTGACAAGCAACAAACTCTTTGGCTACTAAATTCATGCCATCACGAAGTGGTGTAACCATTGCTACAGCTGAGTCACGATAGAAAGCTGCCAAATCATTTTGACTAACACAACCATAAATATATTTAATGGGTGACCAATTAGGAGTTGAGAAACGACCATTTATTCGTCCAACAAGTTGGTCCATTTCCTCTTTAAGGTCCTGGTATTCCTTAACATCTGTACGTGATGGGACGGCAATTTGCATAAGTGCTACTTTATCCTTATGTTGTGGATATCGTTCCAATAGGATTTCAAAAGCCTTTAATCTATGTACTAACCCTTTAGTGTAATCCAATCGATCTACAGCAAGTATCAATTGTAATGATGTACTTATTACAGTGGGCGCTTGCTTTGCCATTTCGACAAATCGATCAAATGGTATACCAATTGGCAATGGACGAATACGTACTGTGCGACCACCATGTTCAACAAGTAAATTTTTTCGATCTACCCGACAACCTAATCTCCGCTGACAGCAATCCACAAAATTTAAACAATAGTCTTCAATATGAAAACCAACCATATCACAACCTTCAAAATAAAGTAATCATAAATAATATGTAAGTATAATCATTAAACTACTATGAGGAAGGTACATACCTAACATTCCTTGAAGAATTTCATCAGCCCAAGGAAACAACCTAAAAATATCCCATGGAGGAAATGGTATATGAAGGAAAAATCCTAATTTAAATTTCAAATTTTTTTCATCTGCCACCTAAAATAATAATTATATAATTGTATACAATATGTTTAGATGCTTAAAAATATTTTATTGTAAAGAGGAGAAACAACTTTTGAAAAAAATGTTGATTTTGATATAATTTCTATTTTTTTTTTCGGAAAATGAAATTAGTTTGTTATTTATGTAAAAATTATATTCTCGTAGTAAATTCTTTTATATTAAGATAAATTATTTGTACTTCAGAAATAAAAAGTACAAATTAATTTGGCTGTACTGTGATATTTAAAAAAAATGTTTACACCCCTTTGGATTTAACACTTTCACTGCTCCAGAGTCCAGACTTACTATTACATTCCTGTATTTTATAATATTATCATTTGCAGGTAACTGTACAAGTTTAGGAAATCTTGGATCGAATTGTTTTAAACTTACATAATAAGATCATAAAGATCTGAAAATTAAAATTTGAAAATTAAAAAAAATTAAAATTAAAGTTTTATGTAATTAACACACATGTTGAAATGCATAAATGGTGTAGCAGTGAAAAGGTTAAATTATTTATCTATATAATATGTAATATTAAACTTTACATTTCGTATACTGTTCGCAGCTAACATAAGATGATAATCATGCAACCAAACAAGAGGTGTTCCAGCATCTGTTTCTACTGTTGATAAATTTTCCAAAGCACCTACTGTTTTTGATGCGAATTCTTTATTGACTGCACAGTATGACTTAAAAATACAAAATAAAACAATTTGAATTAGTTTCATTACAATATTTATTAGTTTTTTGGATCTATGATTACTTTCCAAGAATCGGCAGAAAATTGTGCTCGGTCAGGCATTGAATGGAATAGAGGCCAAAATGTTCCATTGCAGCAACCATTATAATAACTATCAAACGTTTGAGGATCAAAATCAACAGGTATAACCTTGAAGGAACATTGAAAATTGTTCATATAAATTACATTATAGTTCAATTTCTTATTAAATTAAATAACCAACTTTATCAGAACGTAATCCAGCAGTAGGTGTTGTATCATTAGGATCAGATTCTGGTATTTCTTCACCTTCCTCTAAGTGAATACCAGCCCATCCAATCCATAGTCCATTTCCTTGAACTACAACAGGTGCCACAGCAGTGACTAAACCACCAGCACTAAAATTAAAATATATTAAAATGTTAGACAATTATTCATAATATTTCTCAATATTTTAAAATTGACAATCTTAAAAAAATTATAAATTAAAATTATAGTATGCACCAGTACTAAAAAATCATTATGTATATTAATAAACACAGAGTTTATTTTGTAGAGATTATATAGAATATAGTTTATTTTTAATGGTACATGGCGTAAATAGCATTTGAGATTTGGTGAAATTTAAGAATTTTTCTTTTGAGGGGGTGGCTTGGCCCATTAAGCCCTCTTCTACTTTTGCCTATGAACATGGCATTATATTATAAGTAGATTAATGAACAAGCAAAAGAAACGTGCAATTATAATATAATTATTTAAATTCCATTAAACTAAAATTTACAATAATGAATTTAACCAAGTACTTATTACATAGGTAAATGAGTATAATTCATATTATCAACTTTGAAATACCTACTAAATGTTATTTCAGTTATTTTAATAATAAAAACATTGATTATAAATGAATTATTGGAAAAATGTATTAGAGCGATTTAAGTAATTTATTTTTAAATTACCATAAAGACTTTAAAAAGGATTATTTCATTAACATTATGGGCGGAAAATTGATACCAATCAATAAAAATATTGCGAAAGCTTCACTAAAACTAGGTTTAGAAAACTAAGAATAACTTAAGCCAATTATAAAAACTGTGATTTTTTGTTAGTATTGAAATATATCTTTAAGATCACAATTGCAATTATAGAAATATTATGGTTAGTCTCTTTTCATTAGGAATATTTTCTATCTGATTGAACATATCTTTGGTTACCCACCTCCAAAAAAATTGTTGTAATTTTTACATTTTACTTAGAATAATTACGACATTACTAATGACTATTATGTAGGCACCTAATTAAAAATACCTAACCTATAAAAATTTAACTATAACTGCCTAACAGTGGCGGATCCAGAGTGAGGGCAAATGGGGCATTTGCCCCCCTCCCCCACAATCGCGGTAGTTTTCCTTTGTTTTACACTGTGTTTTGCCAATTTTGGAACTTTTTGTACTTTTGCCCCCCCCCATGCCCCTCTCAAAATTAAGCCCTGGATCCGCCACTGATAATTAACATACATTATAATACATATTAATCTTTTTCTAACCACAATTGCTGTATCAAACAAGATATTATTATTAACATATAATATAATATATATATCCGTAAACATATACTATGGATAGAGGCTCTGCATTATAAACGCGTTCTACGTGTTGAATATATCATGAAGACGAGTCGCAAAAGGACTGATTTCTATTGCGCATGCGTCTCAGTACTCGTCAAATATTTATCACTAAACTAGAGGTGAAATAAATTGCTCGTAATTACAGTTGTACTAATCGGGATCGTGAATGCATGATATCAATTGTGGGCATACGCATTTTCACAAATTCTTCCTAGTTGGCTTCAAATATTTAGGCAGTAGCTCAATCCATTGTATACCTATGATCTAAGTTCATAAACATAGACATATTATTTTATAACTAATATCATTCAGATAACCAATATTTAAAAAAAATGTTATGGGTGTGGTTTCAAATCTACAATGACGGTTGTAAATAGTTTCGATCTACAACCACGGTTACGATCGCTTGCCGCCGCTGCGATATGGAGTACAACGCCATCTCTGGAACGTTTTATAATGTTTCACTTATTGCGTCATATTGAGCATCGTCCATTAATTTTGAAAATAAAGAAAAAACCTGGCACTGTACGTACGCCGTCTTAAAAATAGTTGGTGGGTAACGAAATATTAAATATTGTTAAAAAAACACAGACCCACTGACAGAGTCATACCCATACACATCCATATGACCATGCCAGAGTACCTAACTAATAAAATAACCGTATGCCGTATAGACTGTAATCACACACAAAGCTCTTAATATAATGTTGGTTGTTGACTTGTTGATCAACAAGTGTCAAAGTCAACTAGAAGTAACAACAAACGAAATAAAGCACGCGGTACTATTCGTATCTTTTATATTATTTTTTCATTATTATATTACTGAAAACTAATTCCATAATCAACAATCATACCTGGCTTTTCTTTCCAATTTTAGCGTCTGTTCATTTTTTTTGAGAATGAATGGAAGCCTGTTGGACACTATGATGAGCTTTCCGGAAGCGTATGCAGGCATTGTGGTGGACGCAGAAACAAAAAAGTAATAATGGACAATTCTCGATAACCGACGATTTTCAAAGACACTTAATTTGGTGACTGTCCGAGTGGTCTGTTGTTGTTACTTGTCGTGTTATTGCCGTCGGTAGAGTACCTATTGGATGATTGGATGATCGCCGACCGCCGTTATTCCCACTACTTCCCCACACAAACGACTGTGTCGTCGTAGACCGTAGTACGGCCATCGTCAGAGAGACCTCTGGTGGCACGTTTCATGACCAGTAAAGAGATAATACAACCATAATATAGCTATAACCTTACTAAAGGACTGCAAAGTCAACTCCATCCTGCCCGCATTAGGAACTGTATAAATTTTACTTTGTTTCCTTTCTCGCTCACTCTATATGGTACCCCTTACTTCTCTCTCTAAGCGCTGTCCAGTAGCTTATAGCCATACTGTTTGTGCATATCGGCCATATTTATTTTCTCGACTATGATACAATAGTTGATTGGCATTGAATAGGCTCGGCAAGACGAATTCACGATATAGAGATGCCGCATATCCATATTTCAGGAATTTTTTAGGAATTATCAGGAAATTTTTCCATGGTTCAGCGATTTGTGAGTGACGCCAACATTCAGCAATAGCCGGGTTTCCTTTTAAGGACGCTCACAGGCAGTGTGGCATTTATCCATAAAAATGGTTTTTTCGCGGATCCACGTAAGACAACAAATTTTACGAAAGCGGTATTTTTATAAACCTTCCCAAATTTTTACTATACAGGTATAAAAATGTATGCAAGTCATAGCGATTTAATTTTTTTTGATACGTAACTTAAAGACGATCCAAATTGTTCATAGATTAATTTTTGTTATGTCTATGAAAAAATATTGAATATTGATATCAAAAAATTAAAAAGCTACGACACAGATAAAGTTTTTTTCTATGTAGTGTGAATTTTCAAATTAGTTGTAAATAATGTACTCGTAAAGTACTTGTTAATGTTTTTCCCATCGTTTTTCAATATAATTTCATTATCCTGGCATACCGCAACTAAGGTTGGTACCTACTGATATAGGACCGCTTTTAAAATACTTTGAATTATACTCCGTTCAACGATAGTGCGATTGAGCAGCGATAAAAACGTGTTTATTTCCACGCATCCGTACCACATTCCTGGTAAGGAACCGTCGGTATTTGTCGATTGCCGTCGTACCGTTGTCGAACGACGTTGTTATAATATTATACAGAGCGGTTGCTGGTGTAATCTTGTTTATTATTATTACATTATGTTTTATGGCAGTTTTAATAATAAAAAAAGTAATAATCAAAATAAATTATACTTATTTCATTAAAATAACTCCAATACTGATATATTATATTATAATAATGGTGTCGCGGTAATATTTGTGGTGCGTTACTTGAGCCGCTGTATACAGAGAGCGGACGCCTCTTTTATTTAAGATGAAACCACAATGTAGATAAGGGAAGTCACTTCCAATGTTTGATTAAAAATTTTTTAGTCGTATATTGACGGCATTTAATTGCTAAGAAAACCGGATTTAAATAAATATATGTGGTGGTATAAACATTACAACTTTAGGAACGAATGTAGTTTACTTCACAAACGATTTTTCCGAACTTTCTGTTTTTGAAATGTTAGTAATTTTATGCTTAACGTGTTGATGAAATCAGAATTTGCCTATGTTCCTCACTTTTTTATTTATTAATCACTATTGTTAAGAGGACGTCTCACCCGGATGTGTTGTCTCCGTCTAACACAACATTATCTGTGTTCTCTAGTTGGTTTTTTACGATATTTGAATTTTTAAGTGAGTTATGTACATTTTAGAATATGAACTTTACATACCCATAACTCACTTAAAAATTAAAATATCGTAAAAACCAACGAGAGAACACAGATACTGTTCTTACCTAAAAGTTTGATAATAAGTCAATTCACTCTAATATAAAAACTGACAATATCCTATTGAAAATAGCCAACGAAAATTTGATATGTCGTATATGTGTAAGACGGAGACAACACATGTGGGTGAGACGTCCTCTTAACAACCACGTAAAAATTAATTGTAGGTTTTATGTGGTTTATTAACAATAAGATAAAAAGTAAGTAAGATAGGTAAATTCTGATTTCACCAACACGTCAAGCATAAAAATACTAAAATTTCCATAAAAAAGTTTCGAAAAATCGTTTGGGAAGTAAATTACATTCGTTTTTAGTTTTTATGCGTACCTATACCACTGCATAGAATTATTTAAAGAGTTGGCTTTCTTAGAGCTCCAGGCGAACCTTCCTTTGAGGGATCTTTAAAATATTTGATTGTCTGATACTACACACTTAATTGTCTTGATATTAACCTATTGTATTAAATAGTTCATAAAAATATTAATCTTCTTTAAAATGTATAAGCAACTAGCTGATCCCGTGCACTTCGTCGCCCGTTAAATGTGTCAACTCAATATGACTCAAACTTTGTTCAATACGTTATTCAATATTCGGTGTATGGTGTTCAAAATTTATTTTATCTTTTCCGTTGCCCGGAATAAAAATTCTGAATTACAGCAGTACATTATCAGGTAGGCAATCTACCTGCGGTAAATCGCGGACCCCGTGCTGTTTGACGGAAGTGTATGACTTAACTCTAAAGTATCAAAGTTATACCAAGTTTATTTTGATATAATACGGTGGATTAATATAACAAACTTGGTTGCTCGTAAAAAATCGCAACTCTTAAAAAAATTATGATCGTTGAACTCCTTTTGGGTGTAACTTGCTGCGGTAAGTGCAACTCAGCCACCCTGGTAGGTAATGTTCAATAATTCGATTTGATGCAAGCTTGTACCTTATACCTGATCTGCCCGAATAACCAATGACAACCAATAAATAAATGCTAATTTCTACTGTAGACTGTAACCAATGGCAACTATTAATAAATAAAAATAAAATTTCTAATTTCCATCGTGAATCTGAATGTCCCTGTTTGAGCACCTATTTAAAATGCGAATTTTGGCAAATCCTTTCTTAGCGCACGTCTACATCATAATAGCTATCTGTATGCCAAATTTCAGTCAGATCCGTCCAATAGTTTGAGCTGTGCGTTGATAGCAGTCAATCAGCTTACTGTTTTATATATACAGATTATTAATCTTTAATACATTTAAGCTAAAAATATCAGAAATATGAAATAAGTAGGTAACATACCCAATACAAAATTAAGAGTACGCCAAAATACGCGTATTTAAGGGGTTTAGTAAAGACATTTTAAATTACATTTCGAGAAGAATATTAAATATGTTAATCCACGATGTAGACACTCGGCGTCGAAAAGTGAGTCGTATTTTCCCGGCGGACTCATTAAATGCCGTCAAAGTACGACTCACTTTTTGATACTGGAAGCCGAGTGTCTACATCATGGATAAACATATCTTAATATTGTTCTCGAAATGTAATTTAAAATGCCTATACTAAACCCCTTAAATAAGCGTATTTTGGCGTACTCTAAATTTTGTATTGGGTATGTTACCTACTTATTTCATATTTCTGATATTTTTAGCTTAAATGTATTAAAGATTAATAATTTCTTATACATTTTAAAGAAGATTACTATTTTTATGAACTATTTAACACAATAGGTTAATATCAAGACAATTAAGTGTGTAGTATCAGACAAACAAATATTTTAAAGATCCCTCAAAGGAAAAATAACCCACATGTAAAGTCAATGTATAGATAATTTATAAGTATTTACATAGATTATAATATATTAGTTTTGGAAAGTGCATCTTATACACAGCTTTATACATACTTATGGAATATGAAAGTTGAACTATATCATAAAATCTATTTTCAAAGTACATTGTTTTCTATTGAATCTATTTTTATTTAACATATAACGTCGTACTAATTAAAATGTCTGATAAAAGTGTGAAGTGTGCAAAAATTATTATTCTTTATTATAATGTTTAAACTAATAAAGGAAAAAAAATATTCTGATATTTAACTTAGGTATTTAATAATTAGAGTTAATATTTTTTATCACCATTGGTTATGAACAAAATATTGTGTTATACATAGACTGCTACAATGGCATTTAGAATTTCAAGAAAGTTAAGGTAAATGTTAAATTATAATTAAAATATACAACATTTGAATAATCACATTTACAGTTTTAAGTTTTAATATAAAAACCATTTCACTGTGAGCCTTTTTTTGTTTTGAAATAATTATCTATTGTTGATAAAATGGTAAAACCAAAAATCTCGCTTTTATTTTTACTTGCGATTTTGATAGAAAAAGTTTTATTATATCTTTGCAGTATTTTTTTGTTATAATAGTTATTAATATTTAGATTTTAGAGGTTACCAATATAATGTGATATTTACATTATTTTATAATAACTAGTATCTAAAAATTGAAATATTTTATAAATATATTGTACCTCATAATTCATAATAAATATAATATTATGATTTATATGATCTTACTCTCATTATAATTATTTCATAAGATACCTTACTATGGGTGGTTATAATTATGACATATACAATACAAATAACAATTCGCAATTTTTATTAAGTAAAATTAATTTTGTAATTTTTTTTTTTTTGAATACTGAGAATTTCATATATACATATATATATTTTAAATTTATCTAATATCTTACTATGAATTTAACATCAAAGTCATCAAAGCAAGTTCTGACAATCCAACATTTCCTTGTTGATTCCTCAAACCCGATTTTAATCAACCGGCTAAATTAATCATGGTGAAAACTGTAAACAGTGTAGATAATAGCCATACATGCGATACTAATTGAACCTGCAATTTCAGTATTTCACTATAGGCTCTGGCCTAGGGGGCTCCCCCTATATGCGCCACTGAAATAGTAGTGATTTGCCCAAACTACTTGATGTTACACAACTGCTTCATTGTAGTATTCATCATTAATATAATATTAACAAAGAAATCAATATCATTTTGTTTTTGCTTATGTCAC